ACTGTTCTATGTATGTTGCACAACAGCCTCAATGCAATTTCGGTTCGACATTCCATCGGAACAACGAGAATTCAGATTTAGTACAGGTTGCCAGCTTCAATGTTCTACAGAGCACCCCTCAGGCGTTCATCGTCTTCCGCAATATCTGAGCGAACTCTCCCTCCTCCTGTAGAATTATACAACATTCCCCCTAGCCATGTTGCACTCACTGATCACTGCAGCAGTTCTATATACTAAGTCGAGTAGGAATTCAACGTTGCAAGGCCATCATGATAAGGTATCTGGCCGGAATACAACGGAATACAACTCCAAAAGCAGTCTTCGGTTTCCTCTAATCAAGTATCCAAACCTACTATTCCGAGACTGCCTCGAGATTCAGGCTTAGTCTCTCAATTAGGACTTTTGTTTGACAAGTTCACAAGGGTGGCGAGTCCCGCTACATATGTTACACACAGAAGCATCAGCAAGCCCTACACTTGAGCTCAACCGCCCATTAAGATTCACCAAACCATGTGCCCTTGCAGGACCTGATCCTCATGCAATATTTGGTCACTGGCACCCTTATTTAGCCTTTCATAATATGTAGCGATGTTTTCTTCTTTTCCTTGGCCTCGAATTGGCATCTTTCTATAGACTTCAGTTAGGACACATGATTTCTTACATGCGTGGCTCCGGTAAGTCCGTTGGCTCTTCGCTCAAATGATGAAGTTATAGCTAGTCCTTTCCAGCTATTTCAAGCAGTATGCTTACCCAACGACTTCAATTCGGTCAGCAGAAATTGCATCTCCGTGTTGTCTTTAACAGCGAGATGAATTCAAAGACTCCCAAGTCGACGGGAAACTCTGATTCATATCTAGTTTCAAAGATATCTCAGGGTAAATAGCATAGCAACATTAGTCTAGCAGCCCACGTGTCGCGTGTGCCCACCCTGAAGTCTAGCTTCTCATTGAGGTAACGACCCCCACATGATTCTTACTAAAATTCCATATCCCTATACTACACCTTGTTTGATAATATGAGAGTGGAATAGGCAAAAACGACGTGTCAATGTAGCGTAGGTTCGACCGTTCTTATGTATTGGCACGATAACGGATCAACCGAAGTCTGTCATCTGAGTTACTCTCCACACCTACGGAGGGGAATCATCCAAGGAGCGACTCGGGAAGCCTGCCTTGCGAGCAAATAATTGACCTTCCTTCATACAAAGCAAAAGGCGATGGGCTGAGCTTGTGAACCATTGGCACTGTTACACTCCGGAAGCCTAGGCTCGAGAACATCGAAACCCACACGCAACTGTCTGAACTCTCAGACGCGCGCGGTTGTCGTTATTCATCGCTAGACGGTCCTGCAGAAAGGTATCAGGCCAGCAAAAGGCCCTTGTAGTTGAAATCCACTCAGCTTCTTTTAGTACATACGCGTTAAACCCCTATCTTTCCGTATCTTTTAGAAATAAGGTTATGTTGAATCTCGTAAAACTGGAGAGCAATAGTCTGCTAGTATCCGAAGTCCGAGGTTAGATATCCCAGTAGGAGCGGTAGTCAGCCGGGGAGCCCCAATATCCTCCAATTGAACCGTGACTGCATACATTTGCTATCTCAACTTCCGAATATTGAGTGAATTTACCTCGTCAGCCTCGGAGATGCTTGCACGAATGCGGAAAGTGACTTGGCGTGTCATGAGACAATATACGTTACCACGGACTTCCCTGTTCATCCAGTCTATCTGACACGCAGCCGTGCAGAACTGCTATCAACTACCACCCTAGAATAGACATGGGAAGCCAGTAGTCTTACACTCACAGGCGAAACTAATCGGGTAGGTGAAGATCATCTTAGCCACTCAGTATATTGGCAAATCACAGCTGGAAATAACTTGACGAGAGGGACCTTTTGCTTCATGTCGGAGACGGTTCCTTAACGAGCTGCAAAAGGACAATATAGAATCAATATCAACATGCCATTTTGGTGAATACTCCTCTGATCACAGCCTTTTCGAGAAGGTGGAAAGAAGCGGCATTGGAAAAGGTCACCAACCTGCTAGCGACGTGGTGGTGTCCTCATTAATCAGGGGAAAGTCTAGTAGCGCGATCCAGACTTCCAAAGAGCTTCTCCGACCTGTTCTCTACCTCCTGACACCGATGAAACGCAGGGTCTCTGCTGCTTTCCATCTGATGGCCCGTTCTCAGCCTTGTAGTAAGCCAAGCTACCCACGGATAACGTAAAGAAAATAAGAATATACGCCAAGATAGGATTCAATGCGATGGATGGTTATCTAAAATCTACAGCCAGATTGCAGACTGCAAACTAAAGAATTGTCCCTAACTGTGCCCCCGGGATCTGCGGCATTCAGGCTGGGCTGATGATCAACAGCCAACACGCGAGGGGTAACGATAAGAACATGGGGTCTGGCCCGTTCCCCCCTGCTCATCAAAAGTGCCGAGGGCCCATAAAGAGCCCGATAAAGATGCAAGTGATGCACACGGGAATAGGCGAATTAAGTATTCCGAGTTAATTAAGTTGACAGTCCTAGTCGAAAAAGAACTAGAAGCAAAGCCGTAGCCAACTGTTTGATTCAACTGAGCGTGGAGTCATCTTGGCATGGTAATTAACTCTCCTCCTCTCCGAGCTCCGGGCATGTGATCAGCTGGTTGAGGTAAAGGCAATGGCCGAGGATACTAAACAAAAGTACTGCTGGGTTGCATCGACAAGAGTTCGGTTCGGGGTTGAGCTGTCCAATGATAAGCTAAATATCATGCATAATTGCGTGAATGCTATTCGCAACTCATCGCAATGGCCAGGCACACTATCCAACCTGCCTATAGCGTAGGCTTTTGGCCGTTAATCTGCTGATTAATTGAACCGAACACTGACCCCCTCAGACACTGGATGAGCTGGGATCAGGGGTTTTGCAGCATATTTTGCATCTCTTAAGATGCCCTTCTCATTATAACGGATAATCGAGCGGCCGAAAACTCTAGGCCCGTTATTTTATCATAACCTGGGTCTCATGATGTGAACCCGCGCCAGACTTCTTTAGGATAGCCATGTTCACGCCGAGTCGGGGATATGCTAGGAGGAGGCTTTCTGTTTGCTGCAGATGGCTAACATACCGAATAGAGCAGGTAAAGACTCACTGCGCTGGCCTTCTCGGCTGCCCTCTTTCTGGTTTTGCGAGTTCATGAGAAGCAATGAGTGAGAAGGCAGTCAATAGACTCAAAAGATTCCAGATGGAGACATGGCTCGTTGAGAAGACCCCAGAGAAAGTATATAAACGTCCTGCGATGCCCTCACTTGAGACTATCTCGTTCTCCAGCACTCCAGCTTGCTACGACAAAAGCAACACAGAACTCAGCATCTTCTTCATCATTCAACTTGGTATCCTTCTATCTCACTCATCATGCATTTCCTCAGTCTGCTCGCTCTTCTCCCTCTGGCCCTCGCTGCACCAGCAAAGCGTGCCTCGCCTGCTCCTCTGATCAAGCCTCACGATGCCGAGCTCATCGAAGGAAAGTTCATCGTCAAATTGACTGATGGCCTCAAGATTGCAGCTAGCTCGAACACAGTCTCGCGCGCTGCAAAGAAGGCTGCCCATACCTACTCTGGTGCCTTCCACGGCTTTGCCGCCAGCTTGACCGATGCTGAAGTCAAAGCTCTGCTGAATGACCCTGATGTAAGCCATTGTCTACATGAATAAACCAGTCTACTTTGTGTCTGACTTTTATCACAGGTTGAGTATATTGAGCAAGATGCTGTTTTCAAGGCCAACACTGCTGTCACTCAATCCCCGGCTACCTGGGGCATTGCTCGACTGTCCAGTCAGACCTCTGGCGCTACCTCTTACAAATATGATGACACTGCCGGTTCAGGAGCTTGCGCGTATGTCATTGATACTGGTATCTACACCTCTCACCCGGTAAGGTCACCTGTACTTGTTGCAATCGCTGTAAGCATGGAGTACTGGATTCTGACTTTCCGCAGGAATTCGAGGGACGCGCCTCATTCCTTGCCAACTATGTTGACAGCAGCAACACCGATGGCAATGGCCATGGCACTCACGTCGCCGGAACTATTGGCTCAAAGACCTACGGTGTTGCGAAGAAAGTCAAGCTTTTCGCCGTCAAGGTCCTTGACAGCAGCGGATCCGGAACCACGTAAGTTGACTGAACAATAAGTCAAGGAGACACAAAACATTTGCCTAACTCTTCTTTTTCTAGGTCCGGTGTTATTGCCGGGATGAACTTCGTTGCTAATGACGTGAAGACTCGAAGTGGCTGCCCCAGAGGCTTCGTTTCCAACATGTCTTTGGGCGGATCTAAGTCAACTTCCATCAACACCGCTGCAGCCAACATTGTGAGCGCCGGAGTCTTCCTTGGCGTCGCCGCCGGAAACGACGGTGCCAATGCCAGCAACTCTTCCCCTGCGTCAGAGCCTAGCGTTTGTACCGTGGGTGCCACCACTTCGTCGGACGCCCTGGCTTCCTACTCCAACTACGGCAGCATCGTTGACGTCCTTGCCCCCGGATCCTCCATCACCAGCACCTACAACAATGGTGGCACTGCTGTCCTCTCTGGAACGTCCATGGCTACTCCTCACGTCGTCGGACTAGCTGCTTACTTCCTGGGTCTTGGCCAGAGCACCAGTGGTCTTTGCGCCTACATTGCCTCCAAGGCCCTGTCGGGCAAGATCAGCGGTGTTCCCAGCGGAACCGTTAACCTTCTGATCCACAACAACTTCTAAACGGAATGACCATTGATACTCGGTGGAAAGACGGACGGGGTATATCTTCAGGCAGCTTTATTGTATATATCACGCAACCTGGGTGCTTTGAGCAAAGCCTGCTTCCCACTGATCAAAACAATGTATATATGACCGAACGATGTTATTTATGGTTATGGTGGACACAGATAGTAAATAAGCTAGGGAACTTTTGTGCACAATTGCGTGCATAAATAGTATCAATAAAATGTTGGAGAAAAAAAAAGAACAGAAGTGCAAAAAAACGGGCCTGACCGGGGATTGAACCCGGGACCTGGCATATTTTCTCTAGGAGAAGAGGGAGGAATCCCGAAACGCCAATCATACCGCTAGACCATCAGGCCAGTTGTTGAAAGATGGCGTTACCAAATACATATATATAGTTACTGAGGTTGAGCAGCCAGTTCGGAAGCAGTCTCTTATTTGTAAATGGAACATTAGAAGCAGCAATAAAATCACCGACATTCATTCACAACACAGTAGGTGGTCATTTTACAATCTGGTTTCCCCTTTTTCTTTCAGTCTCATTCGCCTTCAATCACATCCTGCGTGTTTTAGTCAAATAAATCTTCAAACCAATACGTCCATCTCAAAACCTTGGGTTGATGGCTTTTGTTCAAGTTAGGCTGTTGCCATTTGACACCTAGCCTCGCTTCCTCTCGCGATGGTCGGGATGTGAATGTTCTGAAACCATTACGTTTCCGCGACTCTTCTCCCTATGCCGTCTTCGGCGTCGATGATGAGGACCGTCATGATGCCGCCTAGGTTGATCAGGGGAACTCGATGAGTGATACCGCATTGTTGAAGGATCAACCTCCCTCGAATCAACCACGGGTACCTTACCATTGCTTCTGATTTTTTCGACTCCATCATCGCCACTGCGATCGCCATCTCCAAGATCACCGACAGGATTTCTGCTATCTGCTACTCTCTGTGATGTGCCCAACACTCTAGCTTCCACCAACTCAGGCCGCATGTCACTCATTCCCAGGCTTGCCATAGCGCAGTCCCACCACCCAGGAGACTGGCTTGGAGGAGTCCAATTTCCGATGTCCTGAAGATATTGCGTCTGGTCATTGGGGAAGTTGAGCCACACGTAAGGTGTGCTGTCGTTGATTCTACCCTCCATGACAAAATCTCCAATCTCGTCAGGAATCTTGAGGGCTTCAGGGATTAAAATGGGACTGTATGCCGGTAGTAGGAGATGTAGCTTCACCGGAAGTTGTCGGCTTCCTCTCTTTTGGTATGTTCGATACGCTTCTTCATTCTTCAGGGCAATGCGTTTTCGCTCCTTGATGCGTCTCCGTGCAGCAAGCATAAACATGAAAATAGTATCAATCTGATTGGAAAATCCACAAAATCGGGGACCAAGGGAATTCTGGCGAAGTAAGCGGTTGAATTTCGGATACCAATCGTTGTCTGGATGATAGATGAAGAACCAATGTTCAATGGCCGGATCATGTTGCGTACTGATGAGCCGTTCCTCGACCATGTCATACACGTAATGCGGAAAATTTTCATACACGTCGACACTGGTCTGTGCAGCGAGATGGTCTGGAGAGTCATCGTCGAGCTTTGCCGCGATAAGTTTGAGAGCCTTGGCTCCCTGGTAAGTTTGGACAATGTTTGCGCCGATTCCAATAGTCAATGCCGCCTTGACAAAGTGGTGAAAGATGTTGGTACTGTCGCAGAGGGACTTGGATATCACCTGCATCTCCGGTATGAACGCCTGCACTTTTGGTGGTGCTTCTCGGGCCTCCCCAACAGGCCCATTCGTATGTCTGACAGCGTGTCTTTCCTTGGTCCGCCCCTTGACGGTCCTGACGCTAGGCCGAGTCCTTTCTGGGCTCCTCCTATTGGGAATCAAGGGCTCTTCATGTGAGGGTTCGTTGCAGATAAAGCACGATATTAGATCCGAAATGTACATTGTGTGAGGACCTCATAGGCGACTCTGGTCAGAGTCTCATAGCAAAAAAGATGTGGCGTGAGATGCAGAAAAAATTGGGAGGCGCAGAGCTCAGTATTGAAGTGCTATTAAGCATGACAGCTGGCTACTTGGCTCAATGGCAAGAAACCATGTGCTTATAGGGTATCTTGATGGTCCAAACGTTTCAATTTATTTCCCTCGTCATTCGTGGCCAGAATAAAATGGTGTTGTCCTGCAAGTAATGATTGGGCCACCAGGTACCAGTATGCTGTTGGAACGTGGCAAGTCACATGAACGTGGAATAGCCAATTGGGCCAGGACAGCACTTCGCATTTCTGCATGACAATACACCAGGGTTGAGAGACAATCAGTTACTTTTTGTCTACTTTGCTCTGACCCCTTATCTGATGTATAGTATGGTTGTCATAATAGTAGGGGGAAACCTCCCTGGTGACTAAGAATATCACATAGGTTCCAATGCGACAATACTTGTGCTGAACTTGTAAAAGTAGGCGTAGCACTGTCAGCATTGATCAACACCCAAGACAGGACGAATACATCATGTCCCATGATCCCTGTAAGTCCTGATCGACTTATCCACAACATGCCGTGTGTACGTCACATTTCTGTGCAAAATTATAGCAAAGGTTAACAATTCCTTGGTTATTGTAAAAAGAAGGTCTGGGCGATCGAAAAATGTCAATTATATAATTAAGAGTTTTTGAAATGCAACCAACACTCACAATGTCCATGCCATCTAAAGCCACTTTTAGACAAGAACCGTGTATAGGGTAAGGGTAGCATGAATCCGCTCCTATATTATCTACTCTCTTCTCCGAAAAATAATAACTTTGCCTAAAATTCTTGGATCCAATCCTAACGAAGTCTCGATTGATGTACGAATGTGCTTATATGTATTAGGAATACTTAAATTGTGGGAATCTCTCGGTTCGATGAAGATCTCGATGGCAGGTTTTACGCGTGAGCGAAGTACTGCTTATCTCACAAGTTTCTATTGGGATAGGTTGGGCCCAAAGGGAAAGTGAGATATTCTCTATTTGTGCTACTCATCGCTAAACCGACTCAGAGAGCCTCGTCGAAGCTCGTAATATGTACCTATTGTTCTAATTGGACTAACCTTTTTGGTTCACGATTCTCTGCTGGGCATCCGACATCTGACACAAATAGCCGACAAGTTTCACAGGGTTCAAGGGAAAAGTACTTTGTAGCTTAGTGAAACATCTTGACCAGATGTTTCCAAATCCTTTGACATGCTCATTTTTGCTTTTTCCACAGATACACTTCCCCACCAGTTCCCTGTTGCATTAGTCTGACAATAGATATACAGCACCACGTTTCTTTTTCTATCTACGTACGGAACGTATCTATCATCTAGGATATGATTCCTTGGACGTTTATCATTGGTATTCTGTCGGATTCTTCTAGGTGTATTTGGCGAGACAATAATAAGTCACCTCCCCAGTCCCAACTGGTTTGCCTAATAGGTACGTAAGAATTGAAAACGATAACTAGCTGGACTAATAGGTCAGAGATAGACTACTTCGCACGTGTAGATAGATAAGCTATGTCTCCATCACTTCTTGAAGAAGAGATTTGCCAGGGGTGGGGGTAAGCGAGTGGTTGGCACTCCTGAGATTCAGTTCCAAAGAGTAAATCACTGCCGTAAATGGCGTCAATACCACTGTGACCAACCGCACAGCTTTGACAAAGACCTCTCGGTAGCTGGCCGAATGGCCAACCCACATTTATGATTAGAGCCACCGACTGGATCGAGTAGCCATATTCGGTACTTCTGCTAAAGAGATCTTTGAATCCGTTGCATGCCGGCTTCAGACTGTGACTAGTAATCGGACTATTATACCTGGACATTTTCACCGTTCTTGGCGAATAACAAGATATCACACGGACCTCCTCCAGCCTTGGGACAGGGCTGGGCTCGTCGTTCCCGGAAGGGAAGTTATTTTCGCATCAAGTAAGCGCACAAAGTTCACTTCCAGATGCCGGGCTAGATGCCAGTCTATAGCCGAATTGGTCTACGTGAGTCCGAACGAACAACATTATCAATCAGAGCCTTGTCCCCATTTCGCCTTCTAAAAAATCCTTGTTATTACCGTTTTTAGGGAAAGTTCGTGTGTTCCATTCATTGCAGCTAGCCATAAGAAAAATAGAGACCAAATTAACACCTGAATTCGACCGTAGCATTCGTCCTTATTAATCGTTGGTATATCCTCATTGCCATTCCCAACCGCCAAAGTCATTATCCTCCGCCCCCAATTGCTACTCTTCCTCTAGCCGCTTACTTTCATACCGCTAAAGGGGCAAACCAGCTTATCTCCTTCGCCCAAAGCAACCTCGCTCTTAGGAGCGGCAGCTTCTCCGATGGAACGGAACGCTGCAGGTCCGCCAGTGAATTCGTCTCCATCTCTCACATACCACTTGGCGAAAAGGTCGTTTTGTATCCAGATAACTTTGCTGAGTGCTTTGACCATGGCTATTCTTTTCGACATCGGGAGGGCATTGTGAGACAGTATCGACTCGGTCAATACGTGCTGAATCAGACATAGGGTGGCGCTGATGTGAATGTATTCAACCCGGAGGGGTTTCGATCTGTGAAGGCCAACATGCATGGCGCTAAATCATGGAGTATTAGAGTTAAAGTTGATCTTAAGTAATAGTATAAATAGGGTGGGGTGCAATGGAAGAATGGTAGAACCCCATTCGTACATACCCAACTTTGTCAAGATACTCCCAGAAGGCCGGTTGTGACTGGTCGGAGCAGATCTTTTTCAAGTACGAGTTCAAGAATATCTTTCGTTCTTGGAGCTCAGGGCTATCCTCATCGATGATGTTCTTGAGAGGTTCCTCAGAACGAGTGTCCCGGACTTCGAAGGCCCGGGCAGTAACATCAAACTGGAGAAGCTTCCGGTAGACGACATGGACCACGGCAGGAATCAAGTCTTGGACGAACTTGGACCCGAATCTCAAAGCCTCAAGATCACCTGGAAACAGTGGGGTGTTAGGAGCCGAAGAGATAACATAGGTGAGGGGTATGATCGGAAACGTACGGTCATCAAAATCCAGGAAACGGTGCAGATAATCGATACGAGCCTCGAGGCTCGTATACAATGACTTGCGGTCTATGTGTTCGGTGGCGGTAGTCATGTTTTCAAGGTATTCGTCAACAAGTGAAGTTGGGCAGGGCTCGGAAAGGCAATAACAGAAGCAATTAGTAGCTGGGTTGGAGGGGAGCCGGGATATATAGTAAATGGAGGACAAAAGTTACTAGTTAAACGAAAAGCACCAATTCAGCTGAAGCCAGGCATTCAACATTCACATGACTGCTAATAAGAGAGTGGCGTAAAAGGGGGTAAGCGGTTCATCAATAACTGGCTCTTG